ACTATTTATAAGCGCATAGTGAGTTCTAACTGAAGTTAGCCTACTTAACGCAATTTTACAACTGTTCTGTAACTTCTTTAGTTGAACTTTTAAGTCCAGTTAAGACAGTTATAGCAGTTACTGAAACAGTTAATAACAGTTATGATAAGGAGGAAAAAGCAGTTATAACAGTTACAAACATACATTCTTTGGTGAAATGATGTAGCTTGTTTCGCGTGCATGTGTTTTCTTATGGGGTGTTTTTTTGTTGCACTTCATTGAACTTGATTTGTTTCTTGATGTGCGCCATGAATTTGTTCTATCACGCTTTTTGTTGTTGCATGGATTGTCAGCTGTCGCTTGGTTTGGGCCATGGATTGTGTATCATGGATTGTTGGGCGCATTGTTGCATGGATTGTGATGTGTTGCTTGGTGTTCGTCATGGATTGTGATTTGCTGCTCGATGTATGTGATGGATTGTGTGTCATGGTTTCTTGGCTGCCGTGTTGTTGCATGGATTGTGATTTGTGGCTTGATGTATGTCATGGATTGTGTATCTGGTTTCTTGCTGTGTTGTTGCATGGATTGTGATGTTGTTTGCATGATGTACGTCATGGACTGTTCATCATGGTTTCTTGAGTCGTTGTTGTGGGTGTTGTTGCACGGATTGTTGTCGTCTGGCAGTGCAGCGCTACTAAAGGATGGAAAAGAAATAATAGAACTAATAAGAAGTTTTGCTTTGATCCATGCAGTTTATTTACACAAAACAAAACCGGATTTAGTGTAAACAAAAACTAAAATAACTAAAGGTATTTTTGGCAATTAGCAAGGTTTAGTTCAGGTTGGAAGAGCGATAAGCCCAAACAACCATCATCAACGTGAGAGCGAGGGCAATAACAAAACGTCAGAGCAGGACTTTTGTAACAGGTTGGCCATTTGAGTCACCTGTCCAGCTAAGCTTGCCTTTGGCATCAAACTCTGGACAGGTAAAGGTTGACTCCCCCTACCCATCTGGTGTGGGCGGGCGGGGAAAATGAAAGCACCCCAGCCTTGAGCCAAAATGGCCACCAAGGCCAAGGTGCTTACTCCCACCCTCAACTCCCCTCTCACTGAATTGGTTGTTACACACACAGCAAGCTGTTATTACCAACAACCATCATCAACGTGAGAGCGAGGCCAATAACAAAACGTCAGAGCAGGACTTTTGTAACAGGTTGGCCATTTGAGTCACCTGTCCAGCTAAGCTTGCCTTTGGCATCAAACTCTGGACAGGTAAAGGTTGACTCCTAGATGAGTCAAATGCCAACCATGCCCTACTTGCGGAGCGCATTAGGACTCTGACGACCGCGACTGGGAAGATGAGTGAGAAGGGCTCCCATCGCTTTCGTTATTCACGGGGAGTCTTAAAAACACTTGGAGCATTTTGCTCCATTCGGCTCTTCTTTTTGAAGGGCATACTCGGCCTGGCCACGGGTAAACTGCCAGAAGCACTTCGTGCGCCAGAAGTAATGTGGCAAGGTATTCCCGTGCGCTCGGCCAAGTGTACTTGCCTCTCGAAGAGCGGTTTCTAACAAGACTACATCATTCTCCGGTGATTCTGGTGCCGGAGATTCAATGATGGCCGCTGCTTAGCAGTCTGCCAAGGCCTCGATAGGCTGGCTGGCTATGGCGGTTGCGGCTGATGTCGCCTCTTTGGTGGCCGCAAGAATGGCAGTCAGCACTGCCCTTGCTGCTGCAAAGGAAGATTTGGACGACACCTCTTGGGCCAAACCGTGAATTGGCTGAGGGGCGCATCTCTTACATGTGGTTTAAATATTTCGGGTTCCAGGCGTCCGGGAAATCGGATCTTCCAGAGTTCATCTGGGGGGGCGAGCCACGCAAACGGCTCTTGTGCCTCTAGCTGAGTGACCTGTGAGCAGTCGAGGCCCGGTGGGCCGACTAGGTCAAGCTTCAACTTGTGTGCAATCGCTTCAAGGTTCCGGCCCCGCCTGACTCAGTGTGTGTGTGCCGGTTCCATTGCACTTGCTCCACCATGAGATGGTATGGGCAGAGTGCTGGGCGCAATGCTGCCGTCCTTTGTAATGTGCTTTTGCATTGCAACTTCTAGGTACAGTTCAGCTGAATTGTACCTTATATGCCAGGGCCCCCCCACGACTGAGTAGAACAAGCCGGGAGTAGGTCAAGGCGTGGCTGAGTGACCTGTGAGCAGTCGAGGCCCGGTGGGCCGACTAGGTCAAGCATCAACCTTTGTGCAATCGCCTCAAGGTTCCGGCCCCGCCTGACTCAGTGTGTGAGTGCCGGTTCCGGCATTGAAGAGGAACGAATGCTTCTGTATCTTGGTCCCTTTCACTTGCTCCACCACGAGATGGTATGGGCAGAGTGCTGGGCTGCAATGGTGCCGTCCTTTGTAATATGCTTTTGCATTGCGACTTCTGGGTACAGTTCAGCTGACTTGTGCCATGCTTGTTCCAGGGCCCCCACGACTGAGTAGATCAAGCCGGGAGTAGGTCAAGGCGTGACCGTACCTTGCCGCTATTGCCACGGATTCCCAAGCGCGCCACCGGGACAATGTTGGCCCATGTGAGTAGGCTGCACGGGCCCGTATGACAATGTGGTCCATGCGCTCCCGGGGTCCGGTGCTAGCGGTCTAATGGCTGGCTCCAGGGATCCCCTGCCGTGTGGTTTAACTTGGCGATCTTCAGTTTTCCCGCCTTGTCGTCGCCACCATTGGCTACGGGTGCGCTGGACAGAAGCCTGGCCCTTCGGCTAGAGGCTTTGACCCCTTGGCTCTTTGGGCTTGTCGAGGACAGTGGCTGGTCTTTGCCAGCATCTGGGCCCTACCTCTTAATGTTTAGAAGTGGTACCGCGGAAATATTACAACTTTAAGCAAAACCCTACAACCCAAACACAACCAAACACCCAAGCCCGGACTCACTTAACCCGCCTTGTTTTGCCGCGATCGGGTTCACGGATCTGACAAAGGTCGGAACCTACCTCGATGGGAATCCTTTTGGCTTCCCCGAGGCGGGTTCAAGCTCTGCTGTGGCACGAGGTGGCATTCTTGCCAATTATTTGGGATTCCTCACTGCTACGTGGAGCCCTGTAACTCCGTAGCCTAAGCCCCTGCAAGCGGTGAGTTCAAAACCGAGTGGCACCCGTCGCTGTCCATTGGGGTTTGGCCTTTAATAACCCTTGTTCCAGTTGATTTGGGTGTGTTTGGGGATGTCTTGCTCATGTGCGGACGTCCGGAGACCCGCATGCATGAGCCCCCCAAGCGGACGTCCGGAGACCCGCATGCCTGAGCCCCAAGGCGACTTGGAGGCGTGCAGTGGCCCTCGCTCTTGTGAGCGACCGTTGACGACGTTCACAGTGTTTGAACCCGAGGCCCTCGCAATCAGCGAGCGGAAATCACTCCACCACGCGTTTCCCCCAGGTGGGTGCAGAAATGGTTGCCGCGACCGCTTTGCTGAATGAGGTCCTTCACGTACCCGTCTGTCTCCGCACGGGCTGGGCGCCCCGCTCTACGGGTCGGCCGGTACTCTGGCTGTGTCCGTCGTTAGTGATTGCCTGCCCGCCTCAGCGCTGGCATTCTTTCGCGACCCCCCAGGCCGACTGACTCCCGCCGTTGGGTTTCTTGGCGCCAGGAGGAGCTACTGTGGTGCCCTGCAGCCAGACAGATGCCCTGTGACAAAGCGGAGGCCTGAATGAGAGGCCCGCCCACAACAGGCCCGTCTGTATGATGCTGCATCAGCGGTCGCCACGAGCGCTCCTTGTTGTGCCCTGGGGAGTGTTCTGTGTTTAGGAGTGTGGGTCCACGAAGACATGCTGCCAGCGTGTTGCGCTCCGCCAGACGGTATGAGGTGAATTTTCCCCTGTCTGGTTTCCACGACTATGACCTCGCCCTAACTTCGTCCAGTCGTGGGGTCAAACACTGTATGCCCGAGGCGTTTGACCTCAGGGGCGCTACATTGGTTTCCTATGTTTTGAGGGTAACGGCTGCGGATAAGAAGTATTGATTTATACATTCAAAAGAAAACCGCAAATCACGTACACGCGCCCACGCCCACACATGCACAAAATCGCCGAAGTGATCGAGTGTGGGAACCTCGGCAACGAATTCCCGGACCCCCAGGCCGGTGACCCACGCCTTCATTTCCACGGAGCCGGGATATAACATCTTTCCAAATTTAGTACCAAATTAACCGAGAGCCCTTTTTGGATCCCGAGTATGGAGCTGGCATTAAAGAAAGGAGGTGGAACTGCCGAGGCTACGCATTGACCCGATGTGGTTGGCTGCCTCGCCCTCGCGCCCCAAAAACAGGCGGTTTCCCAAATCTGTCAGGGTGAGAGCAAGGCCCGACCTCCCGGGCAAAACCTCAATGGCCGGTGACTGCCCAGGTGGTTTAACCGATGGCCTGCCCTACTTACTCGGCCAAGCCCCCGCACCCCGAGGGAGGCTGAAGCCAAGCCCAGCAAGGGCTGATGGCTCGGCATGACCTTCCCGGGTACCCGAGCGGCCAGCGGGAACCAATGGGTGACTGGCCCGCAGTTCGGATGCCAGAGACTGTGTGAGCTTCGCCAGTGCAGTGACTTCCTCACTTGCCGGCACACCGGGGTATTGCCTGCAGTCTCTTAAGCTTTTGACCCCGGGTCGGTGAGGGCGTTGTGCCGCTATGACCCAAGGGGTCGTGCTGTGCCAATGGCGGACCGCCCCGTGTACCCACAAATTCTTGTCAAGGTTCCTTACTTTGCTTGCACCCAGACAACCCGGTCCGGAAGGCGGGCTTCCCTGCCCATGCCACCGGTTGTTCGGACATTCTGTGAGTGACGAGGCGGCGTGCTGTCCTGCCCGGAATGGCGACCTTGACGATCATGCCTCCGGGCGGGATTTGGCTTTCTGTAAGCTTAAATGTGCCGCTTGCCTGCCACCCTCGAACCGTGGCCGATTCAAGCAAGAAGCGGCAGTGTTGATTTCACTGGTGGCGCCCGTAGTGGCTCCAGGCACCACCGCGGCGGCCCTCTCATGGGAGGGCCTCGGTGCGGACATCCAGTAGCCCCTTCGGCCTCGGCTGGTCGATCTCGAGGACCGCCTTGGCCAGGATGCGGCACAGGCTGACTCCCAATGCCTTTGGTGCGTTTGTCCATTTGTGCTTGGCCCGGTACTGGCTGCCGTCAGCATTGAGCCAAGTGCGGTTCTGGTGCGTGCACCTGATCCCTTTGAGCTGGGAAAGGTCTAGCCCGAAGTGCGCGATCTTTGTGGGCTTTGGGACTTCCTCTCCAAACATGCATTGATCGAAAGCCGCTTTTTCCACGAGGGCGTGTTTCTCCACGGAAGTTCCCCACGTCGTTTTCCAAAAGTCTGCTTTGTTCCTGTCATCCGAGCTCTCCAACCAGAATGCTCTGTGCTCCCTGAGTTGGTACTTCACCGCTTCGGCCGATAATTCGAAAATCTGGTTGGCCTTCAACAGCTGCTCGTACTTGGCCTTTGATAAGTTCTTGCGGCCGAGCCCGTCTGGGCGTTCTAGGTCCCGCAACGGTTCAGCGCCCGAACAACTGCCCCCCGACCGGGGCAACGTCTCAGACGGCGGGGAAATGCCCACACAGTCGAACACACCCTCCTGAACTTCCCGCAGGATGTTTCTGAACAGCAGTAAGGCACGGGGGCGGCGAGCCCAGCGTTCGGGCAGGATGTTGGTCGCTCCATACGCATACTGATGCCACCTGGGTGGTTTGGGTATGGATCCGTCTGTCAGGACGGGCTCAGATGTCTTGTATGGCGGCTGCCTCTTCCGCGGCAACGGAGATCGACCCCTTGGCACCAGGCGGATACCCGAAGAGCCAGGGGCCGCACACTCGTCCGAGTGGTTGGTTCGGTGTCTCTTATGCGGTGGAAGGCCTGCCGGAGAATTGGGTCTTTCCTGTCCGAGAGTTTCGCTCTCGGGGGCAGATGCCCTCCGATCGGAACGCGCTGATTGTGCCGGAGGTGAAGATTCACCCGACAAGTGACAAGTGAGCTTCTGAAGTGCTTTTGGTCGGGCATTGTGTTGCTTGGTGCGGGCCCAAGCAGTGGTTGCATTGATGGCTCCGGTGGTAAGCGCACCTGGATTGTGGCTTCCCATTTCCACACTGTCCAATGTTAAAGTTGATACAGATTTCAAGGCCCTTTCTGTTGAGGGAATAATGCCCCGCTGAGAAGTCCCAGCGTGACTTGTTCTCGCCGGTGTATTTCTTCTTGCCTTTCTTGGATACCTTGGGCTTCGAGCTCTTTGGGCTCTCCCGTCGACTCGGTGATCTGTCTGGCGAGGATTCCACCGATGATTCCGAGCTCAAGCCGACTAAAGTGCCGCGGTTCCTCCCCAAGAGCGTGGTGCTCGGGGAAATCACTTCCGCGTCCCAAAAGTCTTGAGCCCTCACCGCTTCTGTGAAAGCAGCTGACCATGGGCTCGAGCTTGGGACCCCCTCGATTTCCAGGTTCTTGCGAATTTCTTCGATATGCTGAGATCTCATTTTGGAGTCCGCTCTGCATATAAATCCCCAGCAGGACGGACCGAAGCGATCGCTAAGTCCTTTCACGAACTCCCTATATTTGTCAAGTTCGTCAGGTTCGGAAGCTCCTAGCAAGGTCATGGCAACAATGTACACCTTGAATAATTTCTCCCAGGAATCCACTGATGCTGGTCCCGGAGTGTCTACTTTGACGACTTCGCCGGTCGGCCCTTCGAAGGTGCTGCTCTTGAAGGATGCCTTGTCCGGCCTGGGAGACCCATCAGGTTCCCACATCGCCATGTCGAAGTAAGGTATGGTGCCGGCTTTGATGTGAAGTGCCAACAGCGATAGTTGCTCCAAGCTCGGGTCGTTGTCGTGTGGTGGCTCTACCCCGAAACGGGCCTTGTACCTGAGGTACATGGCCCTGACCGAGCTTTGTTGCAATTTGCCCCCTTCAGTTTCAAAACCTATTTCGGCATCCCCCACGTGAGCTACCACATCATTGGGAATGCTCTGATTTGTATGAGGTTCACCGTGGGCCGGAGGTTTGGATGGGCCCGCCACCTCCTCGTTCCCCGCAGTGTCTGGCGTCCTCTTAACTTTTAGAAGAGCCACTCTCCGGAACACTTCGAGCCGTGATTGTTCAACAGGTGTCAGCTCCCTTTCCGTCGGTTTGTCCCCAGCGGATGCCGGAGGGACTGCCCTACGGATAAGAAGAACTGCAGCGTCCCAAACATGGCGCTTGATGAATGCGACGTCCCTCAGGTTGATGGGTGACCCAAGGTCTCGGATCAGAGTGTCTCGTAGTGAGTCGTCCAGGCCGGCCCACTGGGCCACGTGCTCTAGAGTTGTGATGGCGTTGAGCTCGGCCTGGGAAGGGTCCATGACCGAAGTCGGACCCCCTCCCCAAAGCGCACCTTCAGCAAGCTTGGCCCTCTCAGAGTAGGAAGCCCGATGCACGATTGGGCAGAAGCCAACCTGCACACATAATAGTTGTCTTTGCTTTGTTGGCGTCAGCCCTCCAGATGGCTGAAGCCCTGGAGGAACGCCAAGATGTCCGGGCACGGAACCCAGGGACGCACCTCGTCCCTGATCCTCAGTAGAACTGAAGGGACCGGGTGCTGCACCGCTGCTTTTCCCCACCTAGCACCAGGGCCAATTAAAAATGAAAGCACCCCAGCCTTGAGCCAAAATGGCCACCAAGGCCAAGGTGCTTACTCCCACCCTCAACTCCCCTCTCACTGAATTGGTTGTTACACACACAGCAAGCTGTTATTACCAACAAGTTCAAACTTAGCAAGATTTAGCTTAGACTGAAAGACACATATGTTCAGAAAAATCTAAACTTTCTTTGGTTTAGTTTAGGTTGAGAGGTAGATAAGTTCAGGTTTTTCCTCAACTTAACTAGGCTTGGTTTAGTTTGGAAGACAGTTAAGTTCAGAAAATTTCTGAACTTAATCACGTTTAGTTCAGACTGGGAGAGAGATAAGTCCAGACAATTTTCGGAACTTAACTAGGTTTAGTTCAGACTGGTAGAGAGATAAGAGCAGACCATTTTCTGATTTTCTGAACTTAACTAGATTTAGTTCAGACTGGGAGAGAGATAAGTTCTGATTTTGCCCCAACAGCGTAAGCTCAACAGCGTAAGCTAATGGGGTCTTCAGCCCAGAATAGCTCCGGTGCGGACTGCTGCAGGCGCCGGGTTAGGTTCAACAGGGTTCCGGAGTTCCGGAGAAGGTCTGGGAGGCTTTGGCGCAGAGCGGTCAGGTTCAACAGGGTTCCGGAGTTCCGGAGAAGGTCTGGGAGGCTTTGGTGCAGAGCCAGGTCAAGTTCAACAGGGTTCTGGAGAAGGTTCCGATGAAGGTCTGGGAGGCTTTCGTGCAGAGCCAGGTCAGGTTCAACAGGGTTCAGGAGAAGGTTCCAGTGAAGGTTTGGGAGGCTTTGGCGCAGAGCCAGGTCAGGTTCAACAGGGTTCCGGCGAAGGTTCCGGCGAAGGTTTGGGAGGCTTTGGTGCAAAGCCAAGTCAGGTTCAACGGGTTCCGGAGAAGGTTGCGGAAAAGGAGGTTTTGGAAATCTTTGGTGCAGGGCCGGGTCAGGTTCAATAGGTTCAGCAGAGGGTTTCCAGCGCTTGGCTTCGCAGCACGCTTCAGAAAGATTTGTAAAAAATCAACATCGCGGCTGTTGGGGGTACTGCCGAAGCTTATTTTCTGAACTTAACAAGGTTTAGTTCAGACTGGGAGAGAGATAAGTTCAGAAAATTTTCTGAACTTAACTAGCTTTAGTTCAGACTGGAAGAGAGATAAGTTCAGATTTGTTTTTCTGAAATTAACTAGCTTTAGTTCAGACTAAGAGAGAGATAAGTTCAGAAAAAAATATGAACTTGACTAGTTTTAGTTCAGACTGGGAGAGAGAAAGGTTCAGAAAAAATCTGAACTTAACTAGCTTTAGTTCAGACTTGGGGAGAGACTGGGAGAGAGATAAGTTCAGAAAAAAATCTGAACTTAACTAGGTTTAGTTCAGAGCGGGAGAGAGATGAGTTCAGAAAAAATCTGAACTTAACAACTTTTAGTTCAGACTGAGAAAGAGAGAGAGAGAGAGAGAAGTTCAAAAAAATATGAACTTGACTAGTTTTAGTTCAGACTGGGAGAGAGATAGGTTCGGAAAAAATCTGAACTTAACTAGCTTTAGTTCAGACTTGGGGAGAGAAAAGATCAGAAAAATTCTGAACTTAACTAGGTTTAGTTCAGGCCGGGAGAGAGATAAGTTCAGAGAAAATCTGAACTTAACAACCTTTAGTTCAGACTGGGAGAGAGATAAGTTCAGAAAAAACCTGAAAATAACTAGGTATAGTTCAGACTGAGGGAGAGATTAGTTCAGAAAAAATCTGAACTTAACAACCTTTAGTTCAGACTGGGAGAGAGATAAGTTCAGAAAAAATTCTGAATTTAACTAGGTTTAGTTCAGACCGGGAGAGAGATAAGTTCAGAAAAAATCTGAACTTAACAACCTTTAGTTCAGACTGGGAGACAGATAAGTTCAGAAAAAACCTGAAAATAACTAGGTTTAGTTCAGACTGAGGGAGAGATAAGTTCAGAAAAAATCTGAACTTAACTAGCTTTAGTTCAGACTGGGAGAGAGATAAGTTCAGAAATTATTCTGAACTTAACTAGGTTTATCTGAACTTAACTAGGTTTAGATCAGACTGCGGGGGAGGTAAGATCAGAAAAAAATCTGAACTTAACTAGCTTTAGTTCAGACTGGAAGGGAGATAAGTTCAGAATTTTTCCGAACTTAACCAGGTTTAGTTCAGACTGGGAGAGAGTTAAGTTTAGAAAAGTGTCTGAAATTTAACTAGGTTTAGTTCAGACTGGAAGAGAGATAAGTTCAGAAAATTTTCTGCACTTAAGCTAGCTTTAGTTCAGGCTGAGAGAGAGATAAGTTCGGAAACTTTCAGGGACCTAACTAGGTTTAGTTCAGGCTGGGAGAGAGACAAGTTCAGAAAAAACCTGAATTTAACTAGGCTTGGTTCAGACTGGGGGAGAGGTAAGTTCAAAACATATGAACTTAACTAGCTTTAGTTCAGACTGAGAGAGAGAGAGAGAGAAGTTTGGAAAAAACTGAACTTAACTAGGTTTAGTTCTGACTGAAAGATAGCTTTTTTTTAAGCGTAAATAGATTTAATCAAAATATTCTTCATCCTGAACCATATGGTTCTTAAACTTCATTGAATTTAGTAAAGCAAAGATAAATTGTTGTTATTTGTTTTCCAACTTTTTATTTTTCAAAAATAATATTAAGCAAACTCAAAATTTGTATGTCTTTAAGTTCATAGCAGTTTCTTAAAAACAAAACGAGTTTGAAAAAGATAAGATTAACTAAACCGAATCTGACACAAAATTATCATATACCTCTTAATAAAAAAGCAAAAATGAAGCGAAGTCAATATTTACAGTTCATATTACTGACACAGATATGAAAAAGACACTATCGGTAGTTGCTTGTGTTCATTGTTTTTGTTGTTCTTTATGCATTTGACTTCATGCTGTGTTTGCTTTCAATGCATATGTTCCAAGCCATATGTTGCAACATATTTTTCTGTGGGTTCATGAGTTGCAGGAAAACAGATAAAATCAACTTTTCCAGCTTCATAAATGTACTCGTCATGATTCATGTTTGGTTGCTGAGTTTCGTTTCCACAGCTCAAATGATACCGTGTACTTGATTATCTACATGCCCTATTCCTGGCATTTCCTTATCTCCAGACAGTTATAACAGTTACAAAAAGATCAAAAAGCAGTTGTAACAGTTACAGAAACAATTATCCCAGTTATAAGTAAGACTTGTAACTGGTCAGATCATGACTTATAAGATCTAACATAACTGCTATAAGTCACTTATAACTGCTACTTAAAATTGTAAGTACCACTTCAGTTATAACTGTACAAGGCCTTAACGGTGGGGTATTTTGCGAGTTTGGTCGGTCCGTGGTAACACTTTCGCCTTGTGTGTAAAAGTTTTTGTGTGTAGAAGCGTTTGTGTAAAAACGTTTTTGTGTAAACGCGTTTGTGTGTCAGGGCGTGTGTGTGTGTCAAAGCGTTTGTGTGTAAAAGCGTCTGTGTGTAAAAGCGTCTGTGTCTAGAGGCGTTGGTGTGTAAAAGCGTTCGTGCGTAGAAACCTTTGTGTGTACAAGCGTTTGTGTGTAAAAGTGCTTGTGTGTAAGACGTGTTTGTGTGTGAAGGGGGTTTGTGTGTAAAAGGGTCTGTGTGTAAAAGTGTCTGCGTGCAAAAGTGCTTGTGTGTAAGACGTTTGCGTGTAAAAGTGTTTGTGTGTAAAAGGGCCTGTGTGTCAAAGCGTCTGTGTGTAAAAGCGTCTGTGTGTAAAAGTGTTTGTATGTAAAGTGTTTGTGTGTAAAAGGGCCTGTGTGTCAAAGTGTCTGTGTGTAAAAGCGTCTGTGTGCAAAAGTGTTTGTATGTAAAAGTGTTTGTGTGTAAAAGCGTCTGTGTCTCAAAGTGTTTGATTGTAGAAGTGTTTGTGTGTAAAAGGGCCTGTGTGTCAAAGCGTCTGTGTGTAAAAGCGTGTAAAAAGGTTGTGTGTAAAAGTATTTGTGTGTACAAGAGTTTGTGTGTAAAAGGGTTAGCGCGTAAACGTGTTTGTGTGTAAACGTGTTTGTGTGTAAAAGAGTCTCTGTGTAAGAGTGTTTGTGTAAGAGCGTCTATGTGTAAACGTGTTTGTGTAACAGTGTTTGGGTGTAAAAGCGATTGTGCGTAAAAGTGTTGGTGTCGTGGAGAATCTGTGTGTAAAAGTGTTTGCGTGTAAGCGTTTTTGTGTGTGAAAGGGGTTTGTGTGAAAAAGGGTTTGCGTGCAAAAGTGTCTGTGTAAAAGCATCGGCGTGTAAAGGGGGTTGTGGGTGAAATTGTCCGTAAAAGCATCTGTGTGTGTGAAAGGGTTTCTTTGTAAAAGTTTTGGTGGGTAAAAGCGTCTTTGAGTAAAGGGGCTTGTGTGTAAAAGTGTGTCTGTGTAAAAGTGATTCTGTAAAAGAGCGTCTGTATGTACAAGCGGTGGTGGTGGCAGCTGTCAAGCAGCTGTGTGTGTAACGGGGAGCATGTGAGGCATGATGAGTGTAAAAATGATGGTGATGGTGATGGTGACGATGATGATAATGATGCGGAAAAGAATGAAGATGATGAGGATAAGGATGAGGATGAGGTTGAGGTTGATGATCATGATGATGATAATGATGGTGATGATGATGATGGTGATGATGATGATGATGCGGAAAAAATGAAGCTGATGAGGATGAGGATGAAGGTGAGGTTGATGATGATGATGATGGTGGTGGTGATGGTGATGGTGATGATGATTGTGATGATGATGATGATGATGAT